ATGGTGGTCTAGGGAGTGATATAGAAGCTTATGTTTACAGATAACTTAGTCTGTTTAGGTTATCAATTTTAACTTTTACACTTTTTGGTTTTTGACTAGTTAATGTATTGATGACTTATCTTGATATGATGGCTGGATATATAACTTGCCAGATAAATTGCTGAAAACTATTGTTGTTTTATATGTTGAAAGTGCAGGTTATGTGGCAAGAAAGCTACTCAAGAAATGATTTTTTTTTTAAATGCTCATTCACATCTGTTGCTAGAAAAAAGGAAGTGACAACTATGAGCTTTTACTTCTGTTCCTAAAAAACAGAAGTAAAAAGTCACACTGTTTACCCCTGTTCTTCAAAAACAGAAGTAAGAAATCCCCATATTTACTTTTGTTTTGTGAGAAACAGAAGTAAAAAGTTCCCATATTCACTTTTGTTTTGAAGAAACAAATGAGAATAGTGTTGTTATTCCTGTCCGTTTCTCCAAAACAGAAGTGAATACAGGGACTTTTTACTTCTATTAAAAAGTCTCCATATTTACTTCTGTTTTGTGAGAAACAGAAGTAAAAATTCCCCGTATTTACTTCTGCTTTGAAGAAACAGATGAGAATAGTGTTGTTATTCTTGTCTGTTTCTCCAAAACAAAAGTTAATACATGGACTTTTTATTTTTGTTTGGAATAGAGGAGAATAGTACTTTTTACTTCTTCTTTTTAACAAATGAGAATAACATTACTATTCTCCTCTGTTCAAAACAGAAGTAAAATGGGAGTACTTTTTACTTTTCTTCTTTTTATGTCCTCGACAAAACAAAAATAAAAAGTTATCCAAAACAGAAGTAAGAGGTCCGTGCTGCAGTAGTGGGTGATCCTGATGGGCATGTTTAGTATGAATTTAGATTTTTGGACCAAAAAGAAATAGTATGAATTTAGGTAAATATATTTTTATATATAATTAAATATGAATAGATATAAAATGACAAAAATATTCTTATCAAACAGGAAATTCCAAACCCCCAGTTTTTTTCCTTCTTCCTCATTGTCTTCGACCTCAAGTCGTTGGAGGAGGATTATATGGTTGAAGAAGGAGGGTCGCAGGTAGCGTTTGGGCGGCAATGTGGATGGGATGGTCAAGTAAAGAAAAACTATGGAGGAGGTAAGGGTAAATAATAATTTTTTTTTATATTCTCAAATGCTGTGGACTTGTAATCTTTATTTATATGTCGTAGCAATGTAATTCTTTTTATATTATATAAGGTAATCTCCATTACAAAATGTAATTCTTTTACATTACATAAGGCTATAATCAAACATGTGAATTAATCATTTGCATTAGGATTACATCTAATCCCTTTCATATGATCAAACAAAACATGCCTTAATTCTGAAATATTTCCAAAACAAAATATTAGCCTATTTCAAATAAATAAATATTGAGTTCATGTACACTAGATAAAATATTTTTTAATAATTTTACTTAATGTGTTTTTTTTTGGTAAAGCACCAAAGTATCCCCGCTCAAGTAGTGGGAGATTAATCTCTCGAGACTTACATAGGCTCAATTATGGGGGACTATCCTTCCAAGCAAGCTAGCTCCATTCCCATCTTTTAGCAGAATCAAACTCAGGTGATAGTCAAGGGACACAAACCCTCATCCATCTATGTCAACATGAGTTGGTAATTTTACTCAATGTTTAGCGTAACACTTATGAATTTATATTTAGTGCTGGTTATTTTATGTACTATACGTTGGAGTTAATTTTATGTCATTCCCTATAATAAGTATTGAAATAAAAATTTGTAAATATAAGAATTCGGATATAAATATTTAAGAGGCGCACAGACACGCATATACCAACAATGACAATTAAATAAAATTATAGGACGAAAAGTAAAATACACACGCACACATACATAACACGAACACAATCATCTAAGATTTAGCACTGGGATCCTAAAGAGGTGGTGCCATGTTTTGTACGATGAAGGGCCACCCGAACGGCACGGATATTTCAAGCTTGACTCGGCGTGACGCAAAAGTAGCAATATAATTAACAAAAGTGGGTCGACGTTGCAATATTCACACAAAGCATGAAAAGCAAGCCGTTCCATTCACCATGGGTTTCTATGCGTTATATATTGGGTAAATGTGGATCCAATATTCTAATCCTTTTTTTAAGGTGTGTTCACTCTCCTGATTTCTTTTATGGTGGATCCAGTACTTTAATTTTATTTTTTTATACATTTGGTATCTTGATATTATTTTTTAGTTACATCTTGCATCCTAAAAATTAGGATGCTGAACGCACCATAAAAAAAAAAAAAAGGATGTTGGATATACATGAGAAATAAGATTAGGGTACCAGATTCACATTTATCTTTATATATTATGTTATATCAGGATTAATAAATTCTGTTTATAATGCACTGAAATTAAACATGCTATGTTAATTTCATAAAATAATTAATAAATATTAGAAGAAAAATAATAGTTTTTTAACATTCTAATTTGTAAATTTCAAATTTTTTTAAAATCACAAAGAACAAATTGAAATAAAAAAATTCAATAAAATCATAATTAGGAGTTTAGGATCCCCTTGCTTCTTGTCGTATTTGTAATTAAAATTTAGTTTAACATAACATATATTGTAACCTAATTTTTTTAAAGATTTATTGACCCAAAAATACTTTTCCCTTTTTTTTTTTGAACTACAACAAAATGATATATTAAAATAAAGAGTTCAAATATTACAAACAGTCAGGTAACCTATATTAGCAACATTAAAAGAAAGAAAACTAATTTTAGAAATTACATCAATATGGTAAGAGGGGAACTTATAAGTGAGAGAAAAGATTTCCTACCGAGGGATGGATGTAACATTGGAAGAGAGCATTGGAAAGTGCAAGAAGCATCTATCAACACAGCCGATATGAAGACGAGGCTTCAGATGAGGGGTCAAGATACTAGAATTAATGATCTAAAGTGCAACTCGAAGACATTTAGAATGAAACTCAGTACCAATGGTTATACTTCTTTTAAAAAATTCTTTAATACGTTGCCCAGAATAACAAATTACTCTCTGGCATTAAAGAATTCTGCTCATTCTTTCACTGAATCGATCATCACCTAGAGGTTAATATTCCTTCACTGGGTCCATGCAGGCGTGGAGCTTCATTTAAAGCTTCATACTCCTTAATGAGTTCCTCTTCTAAATCATCACTAAGAGACACATATTTAGGATTGGCTCTTCAACAAAATTGTCGCCAAAAGGAATATAATGTTTTGTTTCGGCGTACCTAATAGCCTCTTGTTTCATTTTTAATCGTAAGAAAATTATTACAATTATTTTAAAATTTTAACATATAAAAATAATAAATAGATGCATTGAAAACGTTTGAAATAGATTTTGGATTGCGCAAAAATAGGCAAATAGTATATCAAGATGAAGAACTTGAATTTAGGAATTTATAACAACAAATTGAACCTCAAGCAGATGCCTCACGCACCTTTGCACACACTCTGAATCAGAGAGAATTAAAAAATACTTTGAAAAATAAAAAAAAGGTTAAGGTGTGCTTAGTACCCTAAACTATTTTCTCAGATGCGCCTAATACCTTAAAGTAATTTTTGATACATCCAGCATCCTAAAATAACTTTTTTTTACCAGAACATCCTATTAAAATGGTGCGTCTTTATCCAGACTAACAGAAACTTTTTTTTTAACCGATAACCGCATGAGTCAGCTCAAAATTGACCCCCAGAGTGATGTTCCTGCAAACACCAGCTGAGGCAGTAGGCGAAATTGGCCTTGTAGTATTCCGATGCGGTGAGGACCGAATCGGAGCTCCTCGACGACGACGCCGCCGCTGTCCACGTGGCAATGACCCTCGACCTCCTCTACCTTCAAGGTTCCATGGCTGCCATCTTCTCCAAACTCTGACACTCCTCTTGTCTTCACAACTTCATCTTCCATTTCATCTCCGCTGCCTCCAAGCCTTCCTCCTCCTCCATCCTCAACCACACTCTCTCCACTTCCTTCCCTTCGTTTTGAAATCTATCTCTTTGATGATAGCTTCGTCTCCGGCCTCATCTCCTCCTCCATACGCTCCGCCTTGGACTGCCCTCTCAACTATGCCCACAATTACCTCACCAACCTCCTCCCGCCGTCCGTCCGCAAAGTCATCTACTTGGACTCCGACTTGGTGAATCCTAACCGTGTTGGAACTACATTGACGTTGGGTCTATGTGGGACCCAAATGGTCATTTAACTGGGAGATTTCTTGCCACTTTATCATTCAAAGGACGGTTAGGATTTCATCTGATCCAAAAATACAATTGATTGCATATATGTCGTCGTATTGGAATAGAGGTAGATGACGTTGCCAAGCTCGCCGCTCGGCTCTGATTCGGTCCTTAACACTTCAGAATACAACAAGGTAAGTGGGAGAGTTGTAGAAGCAAGGGGCCTATTTGAAGCGAAAAGTGGCGGTGGTAATGGTGGGATGGAAGAAGAAGAAGAGGAGGCAGAGGAGGAGAGAGATGAGAAGGGGAAGAAAAGGAAGGAAAAGACATGACGGGACTGAGAATGGAAAAGAGGGGGGGAGGAGGGAAGGGATTGAGAATGAAGAGAGAGAGAGAGGTCAATTTTGAATTGAGTCATTAACTCGCTAAGAGCAAAAAGAGGACTCTCTGATAGTGCAACATGCCCTCTAGGGTGTGACAGAGAGGAGAGTGTCTTGCACACTCTGAGGGACTGTAAGCGAGCGAGAGAAGTGTGGATGATATTACTTAATCCTAACATGCTACAAACTTTCTTCTCTTGTCATTTTCAGGAATGGCTTCAATGGAATACATCGCGTAGTCCAGGGAAGGCACGCTTCCAGCAATGGAACTAGACAAGGATCTTTGCTTATGCTTGCTGGCTCATCTAGAAGTTTAGATGCAGACAGACCTTCGAGGGTAGCACAGGATCAAGCAACGAAATATTCCAGCAGTGCATGTTCCACCTAATGGAAGAAGTAGCGCGCAGGAGACTACATCATCAGATTTTCCCCTGGATGAAACAAGTGAATGAACGATGGCAAGCTCCCCCACCTGGGGTGGTTAGACTCGATGTGGATGCATCAGTTCGCGACAATCAATATGCAGCATGCGGTGGAGTGATTCGAGATGAGAACAGAGACTGGATCATGGGATTTCAAAAGCTACTTGGAACACATCCAATCATGATAGCAGAAATCCTTGCCATTAAAACAGGTTTAGAAGTATGCAGAGATTTGAAATTCACACATGTGCAGGTATTTTCTGACTTGTTGGAGGCTGTGAACATCCTGATGAGAGACAGTGGGACACAACACCCTTTTCGTGATGAGATTGAGGCCACCCGACAGCTTTTATATGAGAACTGGAATTTATCAATTCAATATGCTGATAGAGAGGCCATAGAATGCGCAGACTGTTTGGCCAAGAAAGCGCATGATGTTGATGGACAAACTGTCCTCCTACCAGATATCCCTTCATATTGTCGAAGTAGAATTCTGCTAGATCCACACCATGTTGTAGAGGGATCGAATGTCCATATGTAAACCTCGAAACCATCCTTTCAAGCTAATGCTTGCCTCTTGTACGCAAAAAAAAAAAAATGAATTGAGTCATGGTTAACAGTCAAGTCAAACAAAACATTTCTGTTAAAGTAAGATATGGGTGTATTATTTTAATTATTTTAAGATGATAGATGCATCAAAAATTATTTTAAGATACTGGATGTACCTGAAAAAATAGTTTGCGATATTGCGCATACCTTAACTCTTAAAAAAAACCCGCTTTGCCCACTTTTCTCGAACACGGTGCATGTACATGTGCGTCGACGTGCAAATCTCTAGCAGTAACTTTTGTTGGTTGGCCCCACAAACAATTTTTTATTATTTTTTTCTTCAATAAAACTGTACCTACTCTTCTTCTAACATGGTTATTTTGAATCTTATCTTTTAAAACATAAAACAAAAAAATTTAATTGAATCAGTGCTATCCAAAATCAATTTTAATCACTCATATTTCTAAATGATACTCCTCTGATGCTTTATATAGAATCTAATTACTGAATTGATCTTGATCTTAAATAAAAGACCTATTTATCACATTTAGCAATTCCTTTTAAATTACCCTATTGATATTCTCTCAATTATAATTAAGTAGGACATGGATGGAGGATATTAAGAAAGATAATTATGGTATTTTAGAAAAAACATGTCATGTTTCTTATAATTAACTAATTTATTTAATTTTTTAATCTAATTAAATTAGTCAAATAAATCTTATATTAAGAAAGAGAAAAATAATGGTTATATGAACACAAATGTAGTTCAAGGGCGGACCGTAAAAGCACGGTCCCGTATTTAAAAACATGGACCGCCTCATTGTGGAGCCCAAGTTAGGTTGAGGACGGGCCAAGTCTTGAAGTGCCCTATATTATTAGGATGCCTTTGTTACCATGTCTTTAATAATAAAATTTAATACTCTCATCCTAAATAATGTAGAAGCTTTTTAGTGGGTTCCCGTATATTAACAAAAGAGGTTATTTGGACTATTTACTTTAAATTATTCAAATTAAAAAAATGGCCCATTAAATCTGTTAATGTATAAAAGTATAATACAAAGCAGGAGTTATTGACAGCACGACATGTGGCGTCACCTATGAGTAGATAAATGTTCTTTTTTCCTTAAAAAAAAGGCCACATTTTTCACTCATTTTCTACCCATGTTTCTAATGGGAGATAAATCTATTTTTTAAATAATTTTTTGATTAATTCAATTAATTCTGAATTATTACGGAATTTATTGAAGTTATCCCAAATAATGAGCCTTTTTTTTTCTATTTTTTTGTAAAAACCAAGATACCCTTTATTTGCAAATATTTTAAATTGAGAAATGGAAATAACATGTCTATTAAGTTATATAAATAAAATTATATAACTTCTCTAATCCCGAAAATCATGGCATATACACTGGCCATGATATATGTTCAAAATTTGAAATTTTTATTAATTTGATAGTATTTTTTAAAATTAATTATGCTTGAAATTTAATTTCGGTCAATCTCTTAATGTACTGAAAATAGTATCCTATGCCTTAAATCTAAACTATTGTTTATACCTAAAATATTTATTATTTTTTGTTTATAAATTATTCTAATTCTAATGGAAAATTATTTAATTTTTGATATTTAGAATTAAAATTTGTTTTAAAATAAAATAAAACATTAATTTTTAGAAAAACAATCAATGTCTTTTATGAATTAGCTTAATAAAAAAAAAGAAATACAAGCTTAAATATATTAGCTGAGATATTTTGTTTATTACTATTATGAAACTTTAACAATAGGAACTACTCAATTTCTTAATATATTGAATAGTCAACCTCTTTTATATGTTATACAATATTTGTCTATTAGTAATGATCTTAAATATTGAATTTCCTAATTATCATTTTGATAATCAACATATTTTATTTTTTATATTAAATACCTAATTCAATCTTAACTCCGCAAGGTCTATGGATTTCAGGAGGGAGCAACCAGTGTGTGTCTTGTGTTTGTGCATGGTGGGGGATGATTGTCACATCCCGGATTTTGGGCCTAGAAATACTAAAATTAGGCTGAATTGGGAGGCTACTAGATCCCTTATGGCAGGAATCCTAAAGATTTCTTAGAAGGATAGAGGGATTCCTAGGGACTAAATTGCAAAGAGAAAGCTCTCTGAGACTTAAGAAAGAGAAAGTCAGAGAGTCAGAAGAAGTCTGGAGGCTCAAGAATAAGAAATAGAGATGAATGTGGGCCAATAGTTATGTTGGAGGTCTCAATGAGGTGAATTTTGAGGTTAAATCAACCAGGGGCAATATTGTAATTTCGTAAAGTTTTTTGCTAGTAAGGGCAAAAATGGAAATTATGCCCGAAAATCTTAGAAAAATCTTGGAAAATGGGAAATGGTATTACAAGGCCCAAACATTTCAGAAAAATAGGAATAAGATTCAAAGGCCTGTATGAGGCTAAAAATGATGAAAATGCCCATAGAAGGAAATTGTGGAATTCCTAGGGTTTTGACTGATTTTGAATATTATTGAAAATGAATTATTTAAAGTATAAAAAAGCCTCAGATAATTGGAAGGAAAAAGGGAAAGATACTTGAGGAATTATCATAGGTTTTAAAAATAATTCCGTCCCCAGAAAGCGAAGAGATTGACTTTAATAGAATTTAAAGCCTGTTTACATATTATCCGGGAAAAGTCAAATTCAAATGTCTAGAGGTTGACTTTTGACTTAAGAAAAATTAGAGGAATTTCCTGTGATGAATAAATAGTATTGGTATCGGGAGACAGATTTTTAGAGTCGTAGATCAGTAGAAAGAATTCGGTCAAGATCACTTCAAAATAAATATTATTAATTATTTTAATTATTTCAATGGAAGAACAAGGAAAGAGCATCACTCTATCTTTGAACATGTTATATAATGCCATATGAATTTATTTGAGGAGAGAAAATGGTATTAGAACATGTCCCTGTGGTTCCAGGTAAGTTAGGACATGAAAAAATACCCTATATGGTGCAGAATGGCAAGATAGATGGAGGAATACCTAAGGGTTGTATTTTGCATGAATTTATATTAATTTCCTCCCTATTCTAATGCCTTAATGATGAAGGAAAATGCAAGAGACAAGTGCATGGTTTGATGGCAAAAGAAGGTATTATGTGTACAGTCAGATGCAAGACACGTGTACGGTTGGATTAAAAGCATGTGGATTGTGATATAAGCATGATGTCATCATGATGAGGTAAGCATGATGTTATCGGACACTTGTCACCATAAGATTAAAAGAGAAAATGGACGGTCTAGATCAAGCCACACATTTTTAAGATCAACGGCCCATATTCAGTCTTATTTTCTATAAATACCCTCCCCTCCCTGTCATTTGGTCCAAGCTCATGGAAACCTTAGGGAAGCTCTGGCAACATGATAATAAATGAAGGGTAAAATTGTATTATGTCTCATGTAAACAAAGTCAATATGATAATAAATGAAGGGTAAAATTGTACATCCATATAAAAAATTTCTCTCAATACCCTATAAATAGGATGAAAATTAAAAATGTTTTCTCTCTTTATCTTACAAATAGGTCCAAAGGAGTATTTAAGAAAAAACGCATGAGCCATAGTAGGCAAAGATAGTAACACATTTTTATATCTTGAATATTTTGATTGTTCATCTACTTATAATATGAAATATCGTGAGACCCGATTGAGAGAAAAAGGGTCCTGGGCGGTCTATGGGTCAGCGTCTAATGGTCCAGTAACGCGCTATTGGGATGCCCAATGATCCAGAGCCAAGTGAAGCTTCCGCCTCCCCCTCCTGGTGATTTTCTCATCCTTCTCCCCATTTCGCGGCTGCCGTTTCCAAGCACGCCATGGGGTTCCCCCTGTCATCTCATTCTTCTCGCCTCCCATCTGCATGAGAGCGGAGAATTGAGGAGCTTCTATCATTATTGTGCTCCTGCTGGGTATTGTGAAACAAAGAAAGGAGCTGCAATTTGCCTCCACCCTAACGCACATCATTTTCCGCACATTATTTTCCCTTTAGCTTCATAGATCATCTTTAGTAATTTTTCCGTCCGCCCCATATCATTGTTCCCATGTCAATATTCCCTTTGCTGCATCCCTTGGTGACTGTGACCTTTTCTGCTAATTATTTTGGTTTGATTGCTTGATTTTGTGAAATTTCCTGAAATCTTAGCCTTCTCACCTGCCATCTTTCATCTTCCAAACCTTCACCCTTCCCCAAAGCAGCTTTCATCTTTCACCCTTCCCCAAATCTGGTAAGATTCGTACGTTCTTTGAGATTGAAAGATCCTGATTTTTCCATTATTGTTGGCAAAACCTTGCTCGATTCCAATGCCAAGCGATCAATGCATTTTGTTTTTTTTCCCCCAACCAATTGATGATTGATTTCAATGATCCCGAATTTGATTTTGAATCTTTCAAAATGAAATTATGAGTTAAACAATTGATTATTGATTTCAATTTTGATTTTGAATCTTTTTGGTGTTGATCCTATCAGCTTAGTTTGATCTTTCTAATTTTGATCTTTTATGTATTTTGGTTTGTCTCTCAGATTCAGATTTTTGATGACACCATTATTGTTAATAATCAATCCTGAATATGTTGTCTTAGCTATTCAAATCACTCTATCGGATATAGCCTGCGGTATCTCAAAATCCACACAGCAACATCGATTTGATGTATATATTCTGATTCCACTGGTAGCTTATTAATTATTAATTAATAATAATTAATATATTTGAGATTTCAGTTTCGACCATTACTAATAATATATTAGTGTGGCTGCTAAATTCCATCCGTTATGTATCTTTGATATCCGTTAAATAACACTTAATAATTAGGCCCTCCTTAGTGTTACTAACCTAAATCCTTCCATCTACCTAATCATGGTACCCATTTCATCATATTTAAATTAAATTTAACTTCTCCAAGCCCTGCATCTATCATAAACTTGGAGTTCCACACTTGAAGTTCAATCATCAGGTACGTTTCCTCACTTGAAATTTTATCATAACCTTTTATTTATTGTTATGAATTTTGAATTGATATGAATACCCTTCTTCTGCCAGCCTCTTCCTACATGTATCTATTTAGATTTGCTTTTCACAGATTATGATTCTGGTTGTTGAAATTTGCTTGTCATCCAAAATATTTAATCTTATTCATTATTAATAAGAATGTGAAATAATTTTGAATTGAATTTTGATGGGTTGATTTTTACACTTTTTAAAAGGTTTAGTATAATTTTTTATTTTGATCCTCTAAATTTGGGACCATTTTTGTTTTGGCCTCTCAAATTTCAAGCTTGTAGTTTTAGTCCTTGAATTTAACCCATCTTAAAATGTTAGCCTCTGAAGTTGTAACAGTGTTACCATTTTGCTGAATATCATTAATAGCTTCAAACGCATCTTAAAATGTTAATCTCTGAAGTTGCAATAGTGTTAAAATTATGTTGAAATGTCATTAATAAATTTATAAGAAGTGATGTATATTGAAATAAAAATCTATTGATGCCAAGACCAAGTCCTAATGTTTGTTTGCAGTGCTAGGAATTGGAATCTCTTTAGTTACACGAAAACAGGTTTCAGAAAAGGAAGATTGTTCTGCTCATGCGAGAACTCAGGTTAGTAAAAGTAAAACACTAAAACTTCATTGGAGAGAGAATTGCATGAGCTCAGGTCAATTAGATTCTCTCTTTTTAAAAGGATCACTGTGCCTGCACTATAATGGTATTAATAATTTTTCTCAATATATCATTAAACTTTTGCAGTTTGTTTCATCGTAGCACGTAAGATTGATTATAATAATTCAAAGAGATGGGGTGAACAAGTTGGGCAGAAATATGAGTGAATGATGTTCATATCTCCTTAATCATTGGACGAGACATATGACTCTTAAAATTTTCTATTCAACGTCATCTGCTCACAATTTAGCTTTGGGTTTAATAACTCTTAAAGTTTAGGCCCTTCTCAATCGTAATAGATGGGTAGGGTAATTGTAGCTTCTTCCTTGGATGCACAAGATGGATGTATAACTTTTGGTTTGATGACTCTTAAGGTTTAGGGTCTTCTCAACAGTAACTAATACGTAGGATAATTGTAGCTTCCTCCTTGAATGCACAAGATGGACGTACGGAATAATTTAATTCAATCCAATTATTATGTTATGTAAACAGTGTAATAATAATGAATTATTAATTAATAATTAATAATAATTGATAATTAATTTACAATTATTTTTATTTAGTGCTCATTGACATTCATCTCACCCTATTTAAATACCATACGATGTACCTGATAGTGCAGTTTTGTTAACTTCACATTCAGCATCAAGTAATAATCTCATTTTCCTAAGCTCCACATCAGCTTTAGATTTGTTTACATTACATTTTACCAACAGTGGTTGAGACAATTGATGTGCTTTCCTTCTTCAGTAGGTGACAAGAAGATCATCAACATACTATGGCTAGCATTACACAAGACCACATCAAAGATATCAATGACAGTAAAGATACATGGACTATTGTTGCCCGTGTTCTCAGAAAGTGGATTGCGTACAAGAAGACTCCACCCTATGCTCCATGGAGGATTGGCCTACTTCTTGTGGATGAGCAGGTGAGCTAGAAATTGGCATTTCTTGATTAATTAAGATTTACTACTATTAGTTATTAGTTAACCCCACAAAATTGATACAGGGTTATAGAATAGAAGGTTTTGTAACACAAAGAGGGCTGTTTGAGCATTACAAAAATGAACCCAAAGAGGGTGGCGTATACTACTTTGAAAACTTTGAGGTTGTTGACAATAGAGATCAATACAGAGTTACAGCACATTCCTGGAGGCTTAAGTTTCATGCTACTACCTACTTTGAAGAATCAGATTTGCCAATTCCTGGTGAGGCATACAACTTCGTCCCCATAAAAGATATTGCTGAATTCACAACAAAGAATGAGGGGCTGATTGGTTAGTACTATAGGGTTATGTTTAAGATCCAAATGTTAGCTTTTCACTTCTATTTTAATCATGTGATAAACAAATTGTGTGCAGATGTGATGGGCTTCCTCCATGGATTTGGCGCCTTGCAAGAATACAAGAATGAGTTTGGAACTTCCAAGAGACTAAATCTCACTCTTGTTGACAAAAACCAAGAACCACTCCCTAAGATTTTTTTTAAAAATATTACATTTTACATGTACACTTAATTAAATTTGAACATATATATATTACATTGAAAATATTTATATATTATGTTTCTGTCTACTTTCTGCATTGGTTCATAGAAAGTGATGCAATATTACAATTTATTTGTATAAATGCTATATTTTTATGCATATTTGTTTCTAATGGTATCTAAAACTTGCTGTAGAGTCTCAGTTAATGTACACACCTCAACATTTTCTAATTTTCCCCTTCAAGAACATTTTAACAAAGTCATATTCCTCACGTGTTAACTTAGCTAGCCAAATGTGACCTGCAGTGAACGCGCAATAAATGTGGTGCTATTTGGTACTTGCGCAGTCAACACATTTAACAGCAAGAGTCATGAACTCCAGCCCCCTATTGTTGTGATGGTTAGGTTTGGCAGGCTTAACAAGCCTACAGGTAAAGCATTCTGTCTCTAAGACATCCTCAATTTCAATATCCTTACTCTGTATTTATTAGTAATAATATGTCTGTCATTATTAGCACATGGTCACATTACCAATGTGTTCGAAGCAACCGAGGTTTCATTCAATCCTAATATTCCAGAGGCTCAACTTTTACTGCAAAGGTTACATTTGATGAAAATCTACTTCTACATTATAAAATTGTTATTCATTTAAATTTATTTATCCAGTGAAAAAAATTAATTGTCTACATTGATATTATTACTAGCCTTGATGAAACACTTGGAGGGAGCCAACGTTTCTCTCAGGTAACAAATGCCGATTATCAGCTTCTTGACAATAAGTCCCTGTTAACTTTTCCAACAAGAATACATGTGGCTGAACTCTCCAAAATTAACAAGGTTAGAACATATCTCTATTTATGCAAGCATTTTGTTGAGACTTTTTAGAACTGGAATGGAATATTTTAAGACATGTTTTATAATACTAAATCTAGATTTAGATTCTCATATGAAACCGTGAGGTACATTGCCATCAAGGGCCTATTTTTATTTGGGTGAAATATCGAAGGAATGAAGTTAAACTCTTTGGTCCTTAAACATAAAATTATGCAATACTCAAATGTAATTTGCCCTCTAATTATTCCTTAGGGCACATAATTGTTATAATGAAAATTTTATTAAAACCATTCTCTCCTTGACACTAGGCATGTGAGGTTGTGATCAAGGTTTTTGTTCAGAAAGTTGAAATCGCTTATGGCTGGACCTACGATGGATGAGTATGCGACAGTAAACCATCACAAGAAAATGACAAACTTCAATGCAAAAGTTGTAAGAATGACGTCTTGGTCACCACACCTAAGTATGGTTCTATGTTATCTTCTATCTACACCAAACACACTTGCGCCTCATTTATTTGAAATGCATTGATGAAAAATGAACATCACATTGAAACACTATCATACCAATTCACAGATTTAAAGTCCATTACAAGGTGTTTGATTCAACGGGTAAATGTTCAGTCATATTTTTCAATCGCCTTGCTTCTAATCTCATTGGCTTCTCAGCTGAGGAGCTGAAGGAAAAGTTAGCAAAGGTTTGAGTCCATAATTACACTAAATTTCTAACTCATTGGCTATATTCTACAATTCTCATCGGTTGTTTCCATTTCAGGAGAGAAAAAACAAGGTTCTTTTCCAGAAGAACTAAGCAATTGCGTGGGTCAAGAAATGCTTATCAAGCTCAAAATCAAGGAAAACAACATCAAGTTTCGAAAAAGCAGTATAGGCGTAACCCAGTACACTACTGATAAGGAGCTGCTACATCAATTTACTTACTCTGACATTAAGGCATGAGGACATCTCTCCCTTTATATCTTTCACCTAAATGTTTCAGTCTAACATATTAAAACTACTGTGCAAAATTATGTAGGGGAGCCAACTTAACATAACTAATAATGTTACTTTTGAGCAGTCCATAATTGAGTCTCCTGTCTCACAGCAACCAACAACATCATCATCAAGTGCCATAGTGAGTGAGGACCGTGACGCTCTAGTATCTCAGTTGCTTTCCTCTCCGGATTTATTGTCCAAATGTAAAAAACACACGGCTGATTCCTCTATTGATGTTGATGACATGAGACTGTCTAACCACTCAACTTCAAACTCCAGCTATATGAAGCCACTGAAGAACATTAAAAAGGAAGAGTGAAGTTCAAGACTGATTTCTCAGCCTTCAATCGACACCATTATCTATTAGTTATCTTATGGGATTATGACTTGTGGTTTAATAAGGTGTTTTGTGTTTTGATTATGTATTGATGGATTTATGTTATTATGATTGAATTTCTCTTCCTAATTTAATTTTATAGTTTTAGGAGGAGTTGGAAAGCTAGATTACATTTTACTCTCACTAATGAATTAAAATAACAAAATCACTAATAATTTAATTAGTTATACAAAATTAGATATTGTTCATATTTGTCTGATTTATATATCACTCAATAAATTAATTAACTTTTTACAAATTGTTACTATTACTATTACTCCTTCATCATTAATTTACAAGTCCAAACAGATCTTTTTTTAAATATATTAATTACTAATTAATAACTAATAAGAAGATAATTAATATAATAATTTGGCACTTAATAATTAATCAGAATAATCAATTATACTTAAATATAAATTATTTATAATTATAATTATATTCTAATCTTAGAAAATTTTATTATTATAATTTGAATTTTACAATTATAAAAATTAGAGTTGAAAAATAAAGCATACATATGTTTAACTAAAAATTTAAAAGAATATTAACATAAGATTATTATAATAATTCATTATGTATAGAATATTATTATTTAGAGAATAAAGAATAAAAACTATGAGGACGTAATTAAAAATAAGGTAAAACAGTAAAGATCTAACAGAAAGGGAAAAAAATCATAAGGACCTGACTAAAAACATGTGAAATTATAAGGACTTGATAACAAGAACAAAATTTAGAAGCGCATTATTAAAAATCAGTTGAACCTGTGAGGATTTGCATAGGCTATTTCATACTCTCCATTTTAAGGTATTTTCTCAATAGTAGACATTATCATTACTTAATTTTTCATGCATTAAACATAAATTAATTTAAGTATAATAATATATTTTCACGAATGGTGATATTCACGAAGGTCAGTCATGATGCTAGATAGTCTTTCTGTTTTTTTTAATAACAATAATAATTTATTGTGAAATATTTATATATTTTCTTAATTCTTAGTGCAAGACTTAATTAGCTAATTTGGATACACTAGGGATGTTAGTTAAATTAGTTAATATAATAAATTTTCCCTAAAACACCCTAATCTAATTATGCTTGTAGATTGTGGAGTCCTATTTACATTACATAATAAACAATTTTAATTGAACAATGCGTATATTTCCTTTTCAATCATTTTAAATTTTCCTGTTTTTTTTATCCCTGGTTTCAAATAACATATTTTTAAATATTATCAATGTCATGCATCGTGAAGTTAATTAGTTCAGGACAAATATAATTTAATTTGGCTTATAACTACAAAACCTGCACGGCAATTATTATGTACAAATTTAACCAATTGAAGCGTAACAGCCAAGTTCTTCCATTTGCATCTCGTCTGTTGCAGTGTAACAGCCAGCTTAATCTGTTTGTTTTTGCTCAAAGTGAACTGATACAAGGTATTGAATGACCCAATTAACGATCAATAATTGAGAGGCAAATAACACTACTGAGGAATGCAATGCAATTAACATACTATCATGAGCTTTACCATCTTGCGCCCACACAGTTACCCTCTCTTTGCATCAGATTAACTTTTTACTTATTACACACTCCACTGCCGGCATTTAGATGATCTCTACAGCGTTCCCACATTTGAAAGAAACCACATGGACAACACCGCATCAAGGCTCAACCTTCAAAGCTCTAAACAAGGCAAGTTTCCCTTCACTTATGATGCGATATGTTAGCTAGTTGCTTTATCTTTGCCCCATTGCTAAAGCAAAATTATATTCATCAACAAAAGGACTCGTGGCTCTATTTAACAGTAGAATGATAGTTCATGGAGTTTTCTTTAAAAATATAATATATATGTGTATATACATGTAGATTGCGTATATACACATGAACAACTAAAGTAATAGTTTAGAAAATTTTACATTATAATTTATCAAACTGTGCAATTCTTTTTTTGCATAAAATAAAGCGTATTCTCACTATCTACCATGACAAACTATAATTAGTGCTCAACTTTTTGTTTGGTTGTTAATCGAAATAATATTCTGATTTAGACAGCTGTTATTATCAAACTCCACATTTTTACTATTTATATCATTTTTTTACATTACAAAATGCCACAAAATACCCTGTACGAACTGAGTGGTTTGATTAAAGGGAGATAAATTTTGCTCCGGTTAATATTTCTAATCAACTAAATGTGTAACATAAAATCTGGAAAATTTTCCACCATATGGCATTAAATGGTTTCTCATACGGGAAAGGAGTCAAATACTTAAATGAGACAATATGGCATTAAATGGTTTCTCATACGGGAAAGGAGACAAATACTTAAATGAGATAACAATGAAGTTATGCATACGTGTTATATTAAGGAAACATTATCCTAAGTACATGATTGTTGTTGCTGTTATCACTGCGATTTTTTTGGATGATTATTGCACAAGATTGAACTGTTCGGTGCACATCATGGTTCTAATCAACCAAATGTGTAACATAAAATCTGGAAAATTTTCAAGAATATGGCATTAAATAGTTTCTCATATGGGAAAGGAGTCAAATGCTTAAATGAGATAACAATGAAGTTATGCATAGGTGTTATTTTAAGGAAACATTATCCTAAGTACATGATTGTTGTTGCTGTTATAATTGTGATTTTTCTGGATGATTATTGCACAAGATTGAACTATTTGGTGCACATTATATTTGTCAAATAAGAACTAAGACTCCACATGCTAAAAAAGATGGTACTTTAAAAGCTGGAAATATCTAGATTACAGGGTGAAGGCAATATTAAAACACTTGAATGATTAAATAGTACTTGAAGATTCTAGAATAATGGGTTCAGTTCTGCATCTTGTTATATAGTAGACGTTGGTTGACTTCTCTTTGTGGGTATTGCATAGAAATGTTAAAAAGTAACAGATATAGCATCAATGTGGGCGTCTATGACGCTTTGGTACTGATGAAAATTTGCAGTTGAAATGAAAGATACAATACACTTTAGTAATAAGCATATTCATATCTTGTGCTAATGATTGAAATAATTCAATGACAGATCATACAAATCATTATATACAGGAGTCAATCTTGCACAAATCAAAGAAAAGCCGGTTTCAGGACACAACCAACGAAGATGCTACCGTTAATCCCATCCTCGATCAACATATCATAACGGGTACTTCCTTCTTCTCCAATAAATGTCTCATGTCATTAATTCCTATAGTGCCCAGGATAAAGTTAGTTCCGTAGAAATATAGCAACTTTATTTTCATAGTGATACTAGAAATGCAGGGGACAAAAGTGTTTCACCCCTCAATTTTATAGCATAATTAATTTTATTAATTTTATATAATACGACAAAAATCCAATTTCAGGTTCCAACTATGCCTCCAACATTTATTGATTTTGAAGCAAATATACATATAAACTCTCAGGGGGAAAAAAAAAAGCGGTCACATTATTAATTAATCACTATATTAAATTCAGATTGCCATATTTTTGTTCCTACTTCTTTTCTGAAATTAATTTTTTTCGTACACAATGTTTTATTATAATTACCACACTTATTTTTAAATTTGTCCAATATAATCAACTAGAATAGTCATAAACACATTGCTATAGAAATTAACACAAACAAAATGTAGTGTATTGCCCCCCAGTCAATAGGTAATGTGTGGTCATGATGCAACCAAGAGAAATAATTGGATGAAACCCCACCTTACACACAGGCACTGGTATAGAAGTTGCCCATCATGACACACAAATGACCAGTAAGACTGAATGCACCCAGCCTCATGTGTCGGCTACAAGCTACTTAGACGATGGCGACCCCATCTACGAGTGTCAATCTTGTGGGGCCTTACTTTGGCTAGGCGAGCGCCTCAAGCGTTGCTCTTCTTCTGAATACCCACTTTTCTTGATTTGCTGCTGTCATGGCAAGGTTGTTGTGCCTTACCTCCAAAGGCCACAAGAACAATTCCGGCACCTTTTCTTCCAGAAAGGACATCCGAAATCTAAAAACTTCTTGGCAAACATAAGAGCATACAATAATATGTTCTGCTTTACTTCTATGAGAGGAAAGATTAACCATTCCCTCAACTCCTGTGGAGGCGGCCCCTACACCTTCACCATGTCCGAACAAAACTATCATCTCTTGGGAAGCTTATTGCCACCTGAAGGATACCCCCCTGTGTACTCACAGTTGTACATTTATGACACAGATAATGAAATAAGGAACCGGATGGCAGCGATCAGGTGCGTCCCCCTCTTGCTACTTACATCCTCTATCACCATGTTAACTCTACTACACAGCTCAAAATAAACCCCTTGGCTTTGGATTGCAGCCACCATCCAGACAAATCAGGAGTTGATGAAGCCATTGCTGTCGACATTAAAGATTGCCTCGATCAGCATAATGCCCTGGTCAAGAAATACCGTATGGCATCAGAGATCCTTCGCAAAGGCAACACTGCCGAAGTTAGGATACGGCTCGTCAAAGAATCAAACGATAGGAGCAGAAATTATGAGCTTCCCATGGCATCGGAGGTCGCAGCGTTGATAGTCGGAGATTTTGATGAATCATATGTCAATAGAGATATAATCATAGAAAAGAAAGCAAGCTCCTTGAAGCGTGTCCATGAACTACATAAGTCTTACTTGCCTCTTCAATATCCCCTTATCTTCCACTACGACAATAACGGATTCGTACCAAAGACAGAACGTTGTTAACAACGCATCTCTTATCAGCACAAAGAAGAAAAAGTACCTCACAATACGAGAGTACCTAGCTTTCAGACTGATGGACAGAAATATAGAGGACTCCGTGTTACTACACTCAAAGAGGTTATTACAGCAATTCATTGTAGACGTCTTTGCAATGGTCGAGAGTGAGAGGCTTGACTATATAAGAAGACACCAGAGAGAGCTCAGGGTTGACCTAT